TGAGAATGGCTGCTCATCTCACTGAGCTAAAACACAGGTCAACCGGGCAAGGAAAACTAGTGACCTCACTGATAATGTGGCAGAAATGGGCTAAAAATATTGCATAAAAAAATTCTATATCTCAAAAAGTATAGAAGTTATGAGCACCAAAAGTCATAGCAATAATTAGCAGAAAGAGCAGAATATTTCAAAGTTTGAACAGTGCAAATAGCATCAAAACTGAGGGAGTAGTTAAGTGGCAAAAAACGTACGGAAGCAACCAGAATAATAAAGAACTAGAAAAATTTGCATTTCCTGCGAAAATGTGTGGAGGCCGTAATGCTGAAGCTGTCTGCTGAAAATAACTGAAAAAGATGAAAAGTTGCAAAAATTATATGGTGGTGAAGAAACTGAAAATTCTGCTGAAAACAGGTGAAGAAGCAGAATTTTTTGCTGAAAAGTGGTGAAAAGCCAAAAATTCTACCGAAAGTGGTAAAGATGGAGAAATTTTTCCTGAAAAGTGGTGAAAAAATGTTGCCCTGCGCAGGATTCAAACCTGACCCTTCTAGTCTGAAAGCAGCTCCTCATCTTACTGAGCTAAACCCATTCTCACAAAGAAAAGGTGGAAAGAAAGCAGAAGCTGCTGAGAATTGTGCTGATAAGAGGTGAAAAGGCTGAAAAATCTGCAGAAAAGAGGTGAATCAGCAGAATTTCTGCTGAAAAGAGGTAAAGAAGCAGAAAGTTGCGCTGAAAAGAGATGAATCAGCAGAATGTCTGCTCAAAAGAGTATTTTTCTGAAAACAGCTAAAATTTGTGCTGATAAGAGGTGAAAAGGCTGAAAATTTTGCAGAAGAGGTGAATAAGCAGAATTTCTGCTGAAAAGAGGTGAATGAGCAGAATTCTGCTAAAAAGAGGTTTTTGCTGAAAACAGCAGAAAAAGCTGGGATTTGTGCTGAAAAGAGGTGAAAAAACTGAAGATTCTGCTGAAAAGGGATGAAAAAGCTAAAATTTGTGTTGAAAAGAGTCAAAAGAGTTTAACTGTTTACTGAAAGAAATGTTGCCATAAGCGGGATTTGAACCAGTCTAAGAACGGATGCTCATCTCACTGAGCTAAAACATAGGTCAACCGGGCAAGGAAAATCAGTGACGCCACTGATAATATGGCAGAAATGGGCAAAAAATATTGCAAAACAATTTCAATATCTCAAAAAGTATAGAAGTTATGAGCACCAAAAGTCACAGCAATAATTAGCAGAAAGAGCAGAATTTTTCAAAGTTTGAACGGTGTAAATAGCATAAAAACCGAGGGAGTAGTTAAGTGGCAAAAAACGTACAGAAGCAACCAGAATAATAAAGAATAAAGAGAAACAGGAACTCAATAGTGTGGATGCCTTTAAGGGCATCCACACAATAACACACTAAAAACATTCTATACAAACAGAATAAAATCATGCAAATAAAACTACTTATAAATAAACACAAAAAATCAGAATAAAAACAATATAAAAGAGTTTCCACTGTGACAGGTACACACAATACTTAGAGCAGACTATCAGACAATTTACACAACTCTGTTTTACATGAACTGGTTAGAAGGCAGAACTGATTAAAAGAAAAGAGGAAATGATGAAAGACTTACCAAGGATCAGTGCTACTACCACAATCTGGTCTTAGAGGGAAAATTAACTGTTTATAAAGAAAAGTGAAAACAAGGGACTTTCCAAATGATTTGAGTGTGAGTCACTCAACATAGCAGCCATGTCCATTCTGTGGAGTTCACCTATTTTTTTGTGAGAAAAAAATGGATAAATCAAATGAAGGCGTGTTAAAGTTTTAGGGTTGCACATTTTTGAATCAACGGCATCTGTAAGAGCTGCACTTCACTACCAAGTAACTGTATTCTTTCAGTCCATCATATAATTCTTTCATGTGGTCTGTGAAACAGCAAGAGGTAATGAGGCAAACATTGCCCTCCTAACATGCACGTGGATGTGGTGTTGTTTATTACCAGTGATGTTGTGAGT